CTCCTAAAAAACCTCTACTCCTGCTCTCATGTATTCCTCCGCATCGATGCAGTCAAACGACCCCTGGAACCACCTTACTCTGGACCTCATGAGGTGATCGAGCGCATAGACGATCACACCTTCAAAATCAAGGTCGATGGTGTTGAGAAGGTCGTATCGGTGGAGAGACTCAAGCCAGCCTATGTGGCTAAGGAGGATCCTNACATGGACGATCACACCTTCAAAATCAAGGTCGATGGTGTTGAGAAGGTCGTATCGGTGGAGAGACTCAAGCCAGCCTATGTGGCTAAGGAGGATCCTGCAAATCATCAACAACCTCAGCAGGCTGAGGTACCTGACAACATCGAACCCCCGTTGCCGTCCACTAGCATGGATCGACCTCTTCGTACTTATCCCAGGAGAGACAAGACTGTTTCGTTCCCTTCGAATCCTCCGAAGGTTACTGGGGGGGGAGTGGTTGTGGCGACTCCGTCCGCCGCAGTTCCCACTTCGTCCACGGCGCAGCGCGCCGATCACCCTCAAGGCGCAACCCGTCGCCCGCGGAAGCAAGCCTTGATACCAAAGCCATTCTACGCATAACGCTCACACCACACGTGAAGCATACGATATCATTCATTCCAAAGTTTATTTAGTATTGACTATTTCTACTACTGATAATAATAAATATTAGTGTTGTTACATACTGCGGAGATTACTCTATCTTGGGGAACCCTCATAATAAGCTAAANACCTATAAAGAAGCTAAAAGCTATAACGAATGGTTATCCAGGATTTCAAAATGTATAGACCCCGAGTCCCCAATTACCCCTCGATTGATTCACATTAAATTGAGCGACACTACGCATATCTCTATTCATTTATTCACCCTCTCACTACATTACAATTTTCTTTTTTATTTGCACGTGAAACAAATACGCAATCTTCCGATCGAGAGACGCATCCTCTTTTTTATTGATATCTTTACATCGTGTTTGATTTTTAGCTCAATTCATCAACTGTTACTTAGATTGAGCTTTTTCGAAGTCAGAAATCGATTTTTGTTGTCTCTGGGTGGAAGCATCTTTAAAATCGAAATTGCCAGTTTTGTGTGTTCAAATAACTGATTTGGAGCTCAGGAATCAAAATATGTTTTTAGACCAAGTCCATATGTATTGTGACGAAATTCCAGGCGAATTCGTCACCTGCGGAACTCCAGGGTATTTATGTATAGAAAGAGAGAGAGAGAGAGGGAGAGAGAGAGAGAGAGAGAAGCTACCTTATTCCGGTCGTAGACGGAGTGAAGACCCGCTCCGCCATCTCAGTTTCACGTTGAGTTCAAGTAATTACAGTTTTGTTCAATTAAAATAATTAAAATCAATCATAGGAGAATTTAAATTTAAATCTTTAAATACTTCGCGCACAATTACCCCGGGAATCGATAGTTCGCGTCTCCGGCACTCGAGTCAGCACCGTACGGGGCTAGTCTCCCCCAGACTCCCCACCACTATGCAACAGGCCCGAGCGGACACACGCGATAGTCGCCATTACAGTATCCACCCGGACGACTAAGAGTGAGGTACGAGTCGATTTAGCTCCCTGAACAAGTTCTCTTTCGAGGTAATTATCGAGGCCCCGTGATCCAAATTCAGTCAAAATCAACGCTCCAGACCATGGTAAGTACTCGTGTACTTATTTAGAGGTGATTAACAGTGAATTAGTGCGTTTTTCGATAAAGCAGTTGGACCACGCGGAATGGCGTCGCTACCTCTCGGAATGACGCCAACACCGATACTCATGGTTTGAAGGACAGAAAACTCTTCAAACAAACCTAAATGCTCCCTGGAAGCTACCTGAGATTATTTAAATGATAATTACGCTACCTGAATAAATCCGAATAGTAATAGTGCTACCTACCGTAACTTTTAGGCTAAATTTCATGCTTTAGGCGTCTCGCTACGGCGATTGATGCAACTCGCTACCTACTTCATTGCTACCTTTTTGCTTGCTACCTTTTTTCGCTCTCTTTACGTAATTATTCTACGCTACCTATTTCTTTATATTTCTCCGACTCACGAGAGTTCTGGAGGAAAAATGATGCTACCTGAATTGTTCTGAAGCTACCTTTTTCGCGTTTTAATGCTCTCTAGCATTCGTTGAGTTTTGGATTCCGGTTGGGCATGGGGACGCTATCTTTTTAGTTATCTTTACTTTATGGTTGGAATCCAGAACAATAAAATTATCTAAGCTCTCTTACGTTCATGAATAAGCTACATATTATTTTGGACATTATTGGAGACCGTAAGCTACCTATTTTCATGGAGAAAACCTCCATTTCCGGGTTGGAAACGCTCCTTTCCGGTAAATCAGCCACGTGGGTGATTCAAGCTCCCTAGCTCATTTTTGCTACCTTTTCGGTGAATGAGATTCCCGATTTTAATGGGTTACAAATGGCATAAGAATTAAGTAAACCATTACAAAGGCGCTCCATAATTCGTAATTCGATTAATTACAGTCGAAAATAAGAAAAATTAGTACCTTTTCGTGAGCTCTCCTTTTTTTTTTTATTTCGCGTAGTTACCTCATCCGTTCTCTCTCTCGCACGTACGCTACCTTCCTATAGTCTCTCTCTCTCGGATTCGTGTTCCCCTCGTGGACAATACCTTTGCTTCTCTCTATCAGCTTTGGATTGGGATCGCTTTCTTTTTCATATTTAAAATTATTATTCGCATCTTTCGAGTCCTTTTGGAGTTTAATGGATCATTTCTGAGTATTTAAAATTATTTTGAGTCACATTCACGTAATTTTGTGTTTGTACGAATTTACAATTTTGTATTAATATCGGTAATAGCGAAACACGTCAGTACAATTGTGTTTATTATTCAATGTCGACCTTACCTATCCCGTTTGGAATTTAAGACATTGGTTTATTGGTTTCTCGATCGATGATTGGTTTTGTTAATTGATGTTCTCGTCCACGAATCCACCCCTCTCTCCACGACCCGCACACTGAGCAGCCGAGTAAATCCCGTACCCTCGTAATCCACATTTCTGCGTATGGTTTGCGATATGTTTCTTGTCGTTATTGGATTTTTGGGGACGATCAGTATTTAGTTTTAGGAAAATACGGTTCTG